ACCTTGTCTGGTTCCTGATTTCAATGTGAATGCTTCCAGTTTTTCTCCATTCAGAATGATGTTAGCTGTGGGTTTGTTATATATGGCTTTAATTATGTTGAGGTATGTTCCATCCAGTCCAATTCCCTCTAGGACGTTGAACATAAATGCATGTTGAATTTTGTCAAAGACCTTCTCTTCATCTATTGAGATGACCATGTGGTTCTTGTCATTGAGCCCATTTATGTGGTCTTTGAGCCTATGTATATGTTTTATGATGTTTATTGACTTACATATATTGAACCATCCCTGTATCTCTGGGATAAAGCCAACTTGATCATGGTGGATGATCCTTTTGATGTGTATTTGTAAGCTGAAAAAGGAACGACTATTCACAGGGGTTACAGAAAGAAATTTGATGAAGGTATAACTATGGAAATGCACAACTATATCAAGAATCTGAGCAGAAATAAAAATGACAGGATTCAATACACATCTTTCATTAATAACTTTAAATATCAATGGACTGATCTCCCCAGTCAAATGACACAGACTACTTGAATGTAGTAAGAAACAAAACCCATCTTTTTGTTGTCTGCAAGAATCTCATCTCACTTTCAAGGACAGGCACTACCTTAAGGTGAAAGGATGGAAAAAAATATACCCAGCAAATGGTACTCAGAAAAAGCAGGCATTGCAGTTCTAATATCCAATAAAATAGACTTTAAATTAAAACTAATCAGAAGAGATAAAGATGGCCACTTCATTTTGATCAAAGAAACAATAAATGAAGAAGATATCACAATCATGAATATATATTCACCAAACTCGGGTGCACCTAACTTCATAAAAACAGTACTACAGGACTTTAAGACCCAGGTTAATCTCAACTCATTAATAGGTGACTTCAGTACCCCATTGTCTCCGTTAGATAGGTCAACAGGACAGAGAATTAACAGAGAGACATATGAACTAAACAATACCATATGCCAAATGTACCTAACAGACATCTACCGAATATTCCACCCAAGGACCAATGAATATACTTTCTATTCAGCACCCCATGGAACCTTCTCCAAAATCGACCATATACTGGGGCACAAAACAAACCTCAACACTCAACA